AGCCCATTGATCCCACAAAATAAATCACCACATATTTATCTCACTTTTAGTTGCCTTCCGTTTAAATCACACGATCATTTTCATTTCAATTCGATTTTGGATAAGTTTAATCCAGTTCGGTTTCAAATTGGTAGACACTCCTAGAGTTTTGTAACCTTTAAACGTTAATCTATTTCAATTCCAGTTGTACTGAATTATTAATGATCCAACTGAATTATGAATTGAACTAAAAATAGAAATGATATATAAATTGATACGAATTCCATATAATTTAATTAGAACGGATATCATATTAATAACTAATCTCAAGTGATATTTTTAATTATTTTAGAAAAAAATTAATGGTGATTATAAAAAAATTAAAATTAAATATAATTAAAAAACTAAAAGTGATTTTGTCAAAAAAAAAAAAATGAATTTCTAGCTGTGGTCTAAACATATGATTGTGATTTAAGAGTAGGAGGTTGTTCCTTTTGCTTCTACCATATGCCATCATCTACTTTACCCAAAAGAAAAAGCAAACTACATTAAAAACTTTACCTTCAAAGTAGGAAGAGATTGAAATCTATGACAGTTGAGGATGAAATTCTTTGCCACAAGAAATAACACATGATGCTTCACTTTTGTGAACATAAAGCCTAAAAGATTAAGAGTAACATAAGAATTTAAGACAAGTGTAGAATAAATCTTGAAAATTTTCATAGAATATATATGTAAATCTTGATATATTATGTATGTGTGTGTTTTAATTACTTGTCAGTGAAAAGTGAAAAGTGAAAATTGAGTGTAAAGAGTAGGAAAGCTAGTAAAAAAGAAAGAGAAAAACTAACCGGCAAAATTGTGGGATCCTAAAATTAGTATTACATATAGGTCATCGAATGAAAGATGTCAACGGTTGGGTTAAGAAGAAGATTTGACATGCCAATTCCCCACAAATCTATGGTACTTACTTTTCTACAATATCAAATATTGAATAATTATATTTATGTATGTATATATATATATATATATATATATTGTTGTTTGTGTCATCATCGGTAGTTGGTAAGAGGAAACTTTGATTGGTCTATGTTGGCGTTCTTCCCAAACATAAACTATGTATATGTGTCCTAAATCAAATTGAAAGAATACATGGGACTTCCACCATTCTTGAAATATGTTCTAAATCAAATATGTCATTCCCAATTCCTACACTCTTAAACTATGTATACCAATTAATTTAATTGGTCAAATTAGACCCTTCATTTTAGGGCAAAAGAAAAATCAATTTCTCAAACGATCAAACATTATTTTTAGAGGAAGTCATTGTTTTCTAACCTCCTAAAATGATAATTCTAAATCAAATGCTTAAGAGTTAAGAAAAAAATAAAAATATTGGATTGTGATGGTTAACTAATTAAGTTGACAAGCTTCTCTAAGAAGAGAGACATAAATTAGACACTTAAACCAATCACCTTTTAATAATCCTAAACTATCTACAAAACAAGTATTACGAGTGAAATGCATCACCAAGGAAAGATTATCTGCATTATTATGATCAAACGAGAGCATATATTTTTGTGTGTGTGTGTGTGTGTATATACATATATATTCGTGCTTTCACATGCACATTAGTTTTAGATAAATTTGTCAATAGTAGGTGATAACAGAGAATTAAGGACTTGGTAGGTTTCAGCCTTTCTATCCAAGTATTGTAAATAGTAAAGCATCCACACATATAAATGCTTACCTGATCAGCACAGAACTGCTGTTGAAAATTCAACCAATATGGTAATATATGTATATAAATAGACACACATTATATTACTTAAGCTTCCCCTTTTTGAGCTCTTGATTATACATTTTAAATAAGATTTTCGAGTAGCTTGAGGATTGATGATAAATATCTATTCCATTATTGTTACCACAGAGAAGATTCCATTTCCTAGTGCTGGTGGTGGTGCTGGTGCTGGTGGAGGAGCTTTGAATTGCTAAGCCAGATTCATGGTACAGACACTTCTCTCTGCTTTTCTTTTCTTTTCCTTTTTCTTTAAGGAGGATAATTGCAAAAATATTGCACAACTGTTTTTTAAGTTTATGATTATTCAGCAAATATTTCACTTTTTTTTTTTTTAGAAAAAAAAAATTATTATTTGCTTAATGCAGCAAAGGTACTAGTTAGTGCATTACCAAATGAAACGGCTAACTGTTTCTTGTCTGTATACTTCATCACAACATGCTGAACCCAGAGACACGCTGAAATCCATCTGTTTTTGAGAAACAAGCAGTATGGCAAGTTTCAGCGTAAATAGTAATTAGAATGCTGTTCACCATGGCAGAGAAGATGAAGAAAATGGATTCAAGGAGGAAACCTGTCAAGAACCTTGGTGAAACCCTTAATTCTTTACTGGGATTGAAGACACATCTAACATCTTCTTGGATCAAATCAGTTTTTGATATTGCTACAAATCTGCCATCGTCCTCTCACTCAACACCAACAATCTTACACACAAATCATGAATCTGGCAATGATATTTCCAAAATCAAAGGTAGATTTTATATACTGATAGGTTTCTTTTATATTTAGATACAAAATAAAATAATAAGTTCAAACCCAAAAAAGAGGAAAAAGAAACTGTCCTACCTTTATGTTGTAACACATTCTCTCTTTGCTTCCATCTCAACAGAGGAACTCTCTGGTTTAACTGCATACATAAACCAATTGAACATACAGAGGAGGCAGGTCCTAAATGATTTCTTGGATTTGAAAGGTAAGTAATCTTTTCTCACTTTAACGTATAAACTCAAACATAAACTACCAACTGGCCAGAAAATTCAATTTCAGGAGCAAAAACTGATTCAAACATAAACATCACATCTCATTTTGTACGTGGAAACTACATTAATAATTAATTCACTGCTGCAGGCAACATTCGTGTATTTTGCCGTATAAGGCCCATCAGAACAGGGGAGAATTCTGGAAGCCTAAAACCTGTTGTAGCTTCGGATTCAAGCAATGTTCTACTGAAAATAGCAAATAATAAGAGTAAAAGCTACAGATTTGACAAGGTGTTCCATCCAGATTCATCACAAGGTGCATGGACTAAACTTATTAGCTATCACTTCCAATTTCTCATTCGTGATTTCAACAAACCCAAATAGATATTGAGGTGATAAGCACTCAAACTAAAACTTTCAGATGAAGTATTTTCGGAGGTTGAACCTGTAATAAAATCAGTCGTTGATGGCTACAATGCATGCATTTTGGCATATGGGCAGACAGGAACAGGGAAGACTCATTCAATGGTATGTATAAACTTTTTTGAAATAACAATGGTATGTATAAACTCTTCAAATAGCAAAACAAATTATGTTAAATTTGGTGAGTGGTGATCTCAGAATGCTCCACCACTCCACCTGAGCTAGCTTTCTGTTAAGCATAAGGAACATCACTTCCAAAGCAAAAAAGGGCATACTAATTAATCTATACATAATATATCAACAACAATTAGCATTTGTAACTGATCAAGTCTAATTCATACCCCCATCCAATGAACCTACATCCAATTATTTGATTGATAATGTGTGTGCTCATTTCACCAAAATTGTCTGTGTGTTCCCACAAATGAATAGGAAGGTACTCCAGATTCTCCTGGGATAGTGCCCCGGGCAATTGAGGCACTAATTAAGCAAGCTACCGATAGTAACCATGCGTTCCTCATCAACTTCAGTATGCTTGAGATTTACTTGGGAAATCTCAGAGATTTGCTCGTCACTCAACCAACTAAACCAACAGACCCTTTACCACCTTGGTGAGTATGTAATTTCAGTTTGCTGAATGCATCACATACATTGCACATTAACTGGGATTCTGATGGTTGCATGATTCTAGTGCTCTAATTGCACTCTTTAAGGGGTGAAAGATCAGCATTAAAATAGCCACCACTCCTCACCTTTTGTGTTTAACTCTTTCTGTACAAAT